CCAGTCTGCACTGGGTACAGAACCTGAGGGGGGTTATCGTTCTGATCTATAATATTTAATCTAACCGTTGTATTGCTGCTTAAGGGCGGAGAGCCTCCATCCTGTCCTTGAACAGAAATATTAAAGGTTTTTATTTGCTCATAGTCAAATGATCGAACTGCTTTTATAACTCCACTTTCTGCATTAACTGATAAATAAGATGATATTGGGTGGCCATTTACGTGAGAATCAACAAGTAAATAAGAGATCCGTGCGTTTTGTCCGAAATCTGCATCATGTGCTCTCACGGTAAAAACGGATAACCCTGGGGAGTTATTTTCAATAATATCAGCCTCGTAATATCTGTTTTCAAATACAGGTGGATTATCATTGACATCAGAAACTCTTAGAGTTATTGTCTTGTTCGTTGAGAGGGGTGGACTGCCTTCGTCAATAGCTTTAAAAGTGATTTCATAACTTGGGTTACCCTCCCTGTCAAGGACACCGTTTGTTATAAGAGTGTAGTAACTCTTTATAGCTGAATGGATTGCAAACGGGATATTATTGTCAATGGAGCAGTCTACTTTGCCATTTTTACCTGAATCTAAGTCTTTAACGTTTATGATTGCCACAGTGGTTCCAGTTGGAGAATCTTCAGCTATAGTACTAGAAAACGACGTTAGTGTTATGAAAGGTGCGTTGTCATTTACATCGATTACTTCAATTATTACATTTGTGGACGAGCTTTGCCCTCCTTGGTCTTTTGCAAGTATGCCAATTTCATATATTTTATTCTCCTCATAATCAATTGAACCTTTCACAGTTAAATCTCCGCTATTTGCATTCAGATGGAATACCTCAGCAATACTACTGGACATGCGGTTGAAGTGGTATGTTACAAGGCCATTCATTCCTTCATCTGCATCTGTAGCGCTTAAAGTCACAACTAATGTTCCTTTCGGAACATTCTCTTTAACGGAAGCCTTGAAAATTGGTTGCGTAAAAACAGGGGCATTGTCATTTGTATCTCGGACAGTTACGTGTATTTTTATTGTACCTGATCGCTGTGGTTCTCCCCCGTCCACAGCAGTGAGAGTGAGAAGCAGCTTTTCTTCTTTCTCTCGATCCAAAGCACCAGAGAGATATAGCTGTACATACTTTTGACCGTTGGGACTCGAAAGAACCTTAATGTGAAAATGTGTTTTGGGGTTTAAGGTATAATCGTGCAAAGCATTTATCCCTACATCAGGATCTGTTGCACTCACTTGTAATATTTCGGTCCCAGGCAGAGTGGATTCTAAAATTTCTACATGCATTTCCTTTTCATGAAACACAGGTGCATTATCGTTAACATCTAGAATTTCCACTACAACGCTATGTAATTGCATTGGATTGGTCATAATCATTTCAAAATTCAAACTACAGGGTGATATCTGTCCGCAAAGCTGCTCTCGATCTATTCTATCACTGATGACAAGAGTTCCTTTGTCCACATCCAGCCGTATATATTCGCTGTTATCACTGCTAACGATTCGTGCATCACCTGATTTCAGCCTTTTGGAGTCGACGCCTAAATCCTCTGCTACATTTCCGACAAATGACCCTTTTCTCATTTCCTCGGGGACAGAGTAGCGGATCTGGCAAGTCATTGCAACGATTAAAGACACGAGTATGAAGCACTGCAGTCTCCATTTTACCGTGTGTTTCTCGCTCATGAAAAGCATATTGCGATGGCAAACGATCCACTTCCAATTAAACGGATGTCGAAAAAAGCTTTTTGAAAATGTCGTATCCCTCCTGAATACAATTATGTAATCCACAGAGTTGCAAACGACAAGTCTGTCTGGAAAGCACGGACAACAATGGAAAACGACTATGTCCTGCTCAACTACAGTGAACCAGTGTGAGAAGAAGAGGCGTAACAGCATTTCAACAGCTTTACATTTGCTGTGCGGATCAACAGCGACTCTTAGAGTTTCATATGAAAATCACAACTGTGTGAAGAATGTTACAAACAGAACAGCCATGGCAAAAGGTATGATTAACTTGTGTGCTTGCATGTTTAATGTTTACATTGAATTTTCTTTACCATGCCAAATAAAACCATAAACACTGTGTTTGGACAAAAAACAGCAATATCGGGAAATTTAAGATACAAACTGGTTTGCAGTTAAGAGTGAATATTTCCTGGTTATAAAAGTAATAAAATTAATATAGAGTGGAGAAGAATACATGTTTGATTTGTGTAAAAGAACATGTATTTTTCAGATCGGTGTACTGTTTTGATTAGACTAGTGACTGTTACTAAACACAACAAAGGGACAATCGCAGGGGGAAAAAAGTTCTCACATTATTTAAGATGAATAATCATTTATAGAAAGACTGCAGCAGTGGACAAGAAAAAAAACAAACAAAAAAAAAAAAAATATATATATATATATGTATATATAAACTCTGCATATTCTTGTAATATAGAGGTCAAGAAGTTTGATCCCTGTAATTTAATTAAAGTCTATCAGAAGTTTGAAAATTGTACTGTAAAATTGTTGTTAAAATGTAACTAATATTGTGGAAAGAAGACAACGTAAGAGGCTTTCCGTGATACTGGAAAAAAAGAGTACTATGGATAATTGTGTAAATGTATGAAATGTTTATCATTACATTATGGCGAAAATATGACTGACCTCTATAGGAGAGTCTGGTTCATCCAGGATGCTCTTCTCA